GAACAGTCCTGGCAGCGCCGGGGAGGCCTTTGTCTGTTTAAAACAAGCAGCACCGCGTGGAAACGCGTCTTCGAAGGGCTGAGGGGGCTGTGGGCCTCGGCCCGGTGGTGCTCAGTGGGCTGTGAGGAGCTGGGAAGATGGCGGTGTCCGTGAGGGGACGTGCGGAGAAGGCGGCCTGGAGGAAGCGGGTCAGGCTGTGGAGAGGTGTGAAGGAAAGCTGGAAAGACCTGAGGTTATAAATCTGTGTAGATCATAGTTTTGAAGTAAATCAGCCTGACCAAGCACTGTATCGCAGGGGATGATGAGTTACAGACCATGCTGGGAGCAGTGGAATTGACTAGAATGATTTCTTGCAGATATTGATGAAGGTTTCACGCACGGAGGTAAAAAGCTCGTAAATATCAAACACTTTACACCCTGTACATGGCTCTGATTGATTTCAGACCTCAGCATTTGCTGTAGGAGTCTTTTATACAGTGAAAACTCTTAAAGTGACTGAATTAAAAATGAAAACGTAAAGTTTGGCGTTGAAATGCTGTCATACGGCTAATAAGATAAAATTCCTAGACATCCATGAAGGAGAATTTTGGTGGATCTGGTGAATGTGGCAACTGAAGGAAAGCCAAACAGTGAATGTTCATGATGAGAGCGGAAATATATTTCATTTTTTTTTAACAGAAAAAGGTAAATGATATCTACCTAACCCAAAAAGAGGGTAGAAAGGGAAAAAGAAGACAAACAAATGATACTGGGCTGCTGCAAGTTTGGCCAATTTCTTCTTGCTGCCTGCAGTTTGTCTATCCCAGTTTGCTTTGGTTCTTAAATAAGCACATTTTACTGAACAAGTAAAGAGACAAGAACTCTGCTCACATCTGCGTACAGTGTGCTGTCTGTGGCCACAATGGGAACTTGGTGACATGCAGAACAATCTGTGTCTTCAATGTGATAATTAAAAGAAAGTAACAATTGAAAAGATTCCTCAGTTGGCCAGCCAAATGCACCGCTTTAGTCTGCCAGTTTCACCTGGGCAGAAGATTCTTAAAGAAAAGGTGAGAAAATACTTGTTATGAGGTGAAAAATAAGTTGTTTTTTCCCCTGAGTTTGACCGCTTCGTGCATTCACCTCTACTGTGTTAATAACATGGTTTTGTTGATAGTGTTGAAATGCATTTAATGTTAATAACGTTAAAATATATGCTAAATTTGTGTTGCTTATTAAGATATTTATTACGGTGTTCAAGTACGTTTACTGATACTCACTTGCCATGCTCATAGTTCCAAATCATTATATGTATTTTCAAAACCAGTAATATATTCCTTACTTTGTTTTATGTTTGGTTGTTTGGGGTTTTTTTTAATTTGCTATTTGTCTCATTTCTGGGTTGTGATAGTGAAAGATTTCACCTGTGTGCACTTTTTAATATACTGCATGACATAAGTAGTTTTACTGATTTAATAGGATTGTGTATATATATATATATATATATATATACAGCATTGTACTAACCAGGGGGCTGTAAATAGTCAGCTCTTATCCAACTGTTTTAATTAGCAACAATTTCATAAGCTTTGCAATGAGGACACGTATTCCTTGGAAAGGAGGTTGAGCCAGTGACTCACTCGTTTCCACGTCAGATGTTTGCAGGTATTCAATGGCAGTAGCTCAGCTGGTCTGAATTTAATTAGCAGCACTGAAGTGAAGAATTCTTTGCCATACTATCAGGCTTTGGTGTTATAAATTCACTTTAAATTCAGCTTTAAAGTGACCTAAAATCAGTGTGAGATGTTATTGTCAATACTTCTTTTTCCTATGCCCACGTGGAGGTTTCATGATCATAAACCAGTGTAACTAACTGAGTTTATGCCAGTTGGTTCAGACTTCAAGCAGAAGCTGTATGTTTCGTGAGCAGTAGAGTCTAGTGTTAAACAACAGCAGCTTCTGTGGGTGGGATGAGTTTCTGATCAGAGGACAGCTCAGGATGTCTGTGTGCTGTCCTTGGGGTCAGGGAAATGGCTTCAGAAACCGTGAGGTCAGGTCATTATATGGAGGAAATAACATATATGAATAAGGTCAACATTTATTTCTAGTTAATTCGTATCCCAGAAATGTTTACTATAGCTACACAGTATTTTTTCTCTTCTAAACTCTATGGAGGTTGTATTGTGAGGTGAGGTCAGGTATGTGTTCTGTCATCAGGGAAAAAAAAATCTAGAGTTATGCCAGGGAAGATAACACCCCAAGAAGTACCGTAGGACAGAGAATAAGCCAAACATCCCCTGGTTAAAGAAAAAATGTGTCTGTCAGTAGGATTATTCCATTATTGTTTACTGTAGGGATGGCAGTCCCTTCCCTGTGTTTGTACAGTGATTTTTAGATGCCTGTGCAAGCTCTTCCTGCGTGAGGAAGGCTGCCTGAGCACATACAGGTATATGTATTAAGCCAACTTTCTGTTACATATCTGCCTGCTATTTATCTTTGCCTGTCAGCTTATCTTTTAGATTGTAAACTTTACATGCCAGATGCTGTCTTCTTTCTTGTGTGCTGCTCAGAACAAAGGACTTTGGATCTAGTCACAGTTACTGGATTTACTAGAAAAAGAGTAAATTTTGTAGCAGGAAGACACTCACCTTACATGTTATGATAAAGATTCTTGGGGAATTGGTGACTTTCCAGTGGTACAGGAGAGCTTAGAAAACCCTTGGTTGCAGCACTACAGATTTTCTTATCTACAACTTTTACTGTTACTTCTTTCCTTTCAAGGTATACACATTAAAACTCACAAAATATGCATGGGCAAACTCCATTTTATTACTTTTTATTGTAGTACTATCATTTACTTTGGTAAGTTCGTTATCCCTGTTTAAAGTGCCTTAAAGCAATTAAAACTTAGTTTAAATTCAAGTATTGTAAAATGTACAGAGTATAAGCACAAAAAAAAAGCTGCATAGTGGAAATACTAGAGCAGGCGAATACATTCAGGATGCCAAATACTCAAGTATTAACGATGCCAGATCAGTATTAAGGTTAATGATAATTAGCCAGCTTCATAGAGTAGATACAGAACTGTGGGCCATAGAAATGCATTGTTCTTGCCGTTAACAAAAGGTAGAAGCATAACTTAACACGGAAAGAATTTGTAGTGTCAGTTTTTGTAACACGTGCCCTAAGAAATGAGACAAATACTGACACTTAAATTCACCTTTCCGTGCTGCTGTGAATCCAGCAAATACGGGACGTGGTTTTTGTAGATTCTGAGCCCCTGCAATCCCAGTGATTTCAGCGAGTTTGTGACAACCGTGGCTCTTAAAAATCCTCACAAACAGCCATTCTTACCTTCATACCATTTTGTTTGGATTTTTGTTTGAAATTTGCCTCATCCTGTTATAAAGAACCACGTCTGAGTTTGTGTTCCTGTTGTTTCTGTGCACGGATGCAAGATCATCTGCTGTCCTTTGTATCTGCCCAGAGCTGCGTTGAGTAGTGGGGGTACTTAACGAATTTTACTTTGATTATGTAGCCCTTATTTTGTCCATTTAATTTGAAGCTGTAATAGTTGTACCTTGGCATAATAGTGACCTGTTAGGTGAACTAGATCAACAGCATAACTTACCTATAATATCTGTCAGAAGAGGAATTCCTTGTAGATATTTTAATTCACATTCACATTATAATAAACAAAAATAATGTAATACCAGCATTGAAAGGGTTGGTTGACTCTTTACATTTGAACAATTGAAGAGTATAATTTTACTTGCTATGGCTAAGAACGTTGTAGTACAGATCTATGTGGACACGGAGGAGAATGACTGATGTTCAGTGGAAGTTACTGCTTCAAAATCAGTGGAACAATATGGCTAAAGTGTCGTTGGTTTGTAACAACACTTTCAAAAATGGGTGTATATTTATGCAAGGGAAAGACTTTTTGCGCAGTTGTTGCCTAAAAAAATTAATTTAAAAATACCAGCAACTTTAAAAAGAAAATTCTTTGTTAACAGTTATGTGTTTTAAGAGCATCTTTGTATGTCATTTTTACTGTTAGAAAGTGTTATTTTAAAATATATTTCAAGAAGTATGACAGTTGTGGTATAAATTATTACAAGGATTCATTAGTCATTATGTGTACTCAATATTGAATAATTAAGAGAATGAAATATGCATTTCTCATTTCCAAGAAGAGAAAACAAGTTCTCTTTTACAAAGGCAGAATATGTCAAAGTATAAAGTTACAGTTTAATTTTTGTAATATTTGGTGAAATTCTACAAAACAACAACAATAATGAGAAAATTAAAGGTCTGCACCCAGAGTATAAAACTAGAAGTCAGGTTTCTTGGAGTCTGAGCTTTCTCCTTCCTTTCTCCTGAAAGACTCATGTTTGTTGTATTAATCAGAGTGCCTGGTAAGGTTCCGTGGTTGGAGCAGGACAGGAGCCGTGTGAGTCCAGCTGCAGGCTATGTCCAGAACCCGTTGGAGATGAACACGGGGTTGATGTGCTGTGGGTTAGGGTTTGATAGAAGGAATACTGCAGGATCTCCTCATGACCAGCCTGACTTCAATGTCGGGAAGAGTTTTCTTTTTGGTGTGTAAACATCCCTCATCCGTTGCTGCCAGGTGGAGATCAAAGCGCAGTGAAACTGATTTTTTCCTTAAGCGAGGGTTGTCCTTAAAGAAAGAACCTTCCCATTCTTTAATCACTTCATCCACTTTTTCTGTCCTGAAACAATAAAGCAAATGTATTTATGATCCTTCAGGTAATATGAACTATCTATCTTCAGGATTGCTTTTAAAATGTAGAGAGAAATTGCATAATCATAGAATGGTTTGGGTTGGAAGGGACCTTAAAGCTCATCCAGTCCCAACCCCCCTGCCAGCAGCAGGGACACCTTCCACTAGACCAGGTTGCTCAAAGCCTCATCCAGCCTGGCCGAGAACACTTCCAGGGAGGAGCAGCCACAGCTTCTCTGGGCAACCTGTTCCAGTGTCTCACCACCCTCACAGTGAAGAACTTCTTCCTAATATCTCATCTAAACCTCCCCTCTTTCAGCTTAAATGTCGAATTCAACATAATAAAATGTCAAATTATTTTAGATGGGTACTGAAGACACTAGAATTTTCTTTTTTTTCATAGGTTCATTCTCCAGAAAAGGTAAATAAAGGGTGAGGGTTCATTATATTCTTGTTTTTGTACTTTTAAGTAGACATGGATACAAAACCACCGCTCCAAACACGGCAGGCAATTTGTTTCCAAGGAGAAAGTTTGGAATCCAAGCTCAAAAACTTTGCAAGAAACCTGGTACTCTAGTGAGCAGGACAGAATTCCTGCTTCTGCAAGTGTCAGAATGTTTTCAACAGCTGACTATGGTTAAGTGCTGGTGACATGGTACACTGCAGCTTGTGTGAGTGTAACGTCAAATGCTCGGCTCCAAAAGAGCTGAAAGAGCAGCAGAAAAAGAAGAATGAGACAATCCAATCCAATTAAAGTAATTTCAGGTGAATAATACGTACTAAGAGACTTTCACATGCCTGCTTAGGAGCCAAGCTCTCCGTTCTCTGGTTGGTAATTGGTGAAACGTAGGAGTTTCCAAACAGCAAGTTAGAGCAGCCAAGCCTGAATTTATGTGCATAAATATGCCCCCGAGGGACTTGACAAACAGAGTATGAGCTCTCTGCTTTCAGCCTTCACTAAATGAATTATTCATAGTTTCATTCTTGACAGAAGTAGAAATTACAAATCAGAAGCATCATCATGGTATTGTTAGCTTATGAAGAAAATGCTAATAAAAAGTATTTAAAAATTTAATTTATTGTAAAACATGCCATTCAATATGCCTTCAAGAACTGTCACTTATTCTGGAGCTTCTTGGCATGATATAAGAGATACTAAATAAAGGGCAACTCAAAGCTACTGAAATATAATGCCCACCATTTACTTTGAAGTGTTGTTTTGTTAAATTCATGTTTATCTTACTGTACAGTGCCATGAGCTTCAGCGCTTTCCTTCATAATATTTCCATCCAGGATTGCTTGTTTTGTCATCAGTTCCACCTTCTCGGTGTCGTGCTTCTTTACGCCGTCTGTAAAAGAAAATGCAGATGCACTGGGATGCAGAAGGGTAAGGTCAGGACAAGAACCTGGAGGTATTTCTCCTCCTGCTGCAGTGGAAGCAGGGAACTCTCTTCCTATAAAGGGAACTCTCCCTTTAGTAATATCCAGGAACCTCCTTTAGGGCTGTAATTCCCTGAGGGGAGAGTATCTACAGACTCACTGGAAGGCAGGGTAAAGGCGATCTTGCTTCTTGTGGTTGGCTTCTTGTCGTCCTTCTGGTCAGGGACAGAGCAACGAAACCTGCAAATAAAAACAATTACAGGGTGTGTTTGCAATTCTGAGGATTATTGCAACGAGAGGTTCTGAAATGGGAGATAAATTTGAAAAAAGCTTTTTCTCCCAACAGCACGTACCTGTTCTCCTCCTGCTCAAGCAGACTGCGATATGTTGCTATCTCCTCCTCCAGCTTCATCCTCGTGTTCAGGAGAATTTCGTGCTCTCGAAGCTGTTTCTCAATGCCTCTTCTCACGTCCAGTAGCTCTTTCTCTAAGCATCCAATCTCAGCTTCTAAATTCTGTAGTTGCATGTGGTACTGCTGCTCTGTGGCACGCAGGGAACGCTCCAGACCCTTTTCCTGTGGAATTTAACTTATATTGTAAGATTTGGAAAGTGTATGTGTAAAAACGTTATATGTACTTTTTATTAAAAATCTGTGTGTTTTTACGTCAGTTCTTTTAAGAATGTTCTTTAGGAGCAGGAGTAAAGCTTTCAAGGTAATACTTTTGCTGAGAAATTTTTCAGTAAAATCTGTAATAATTTAAGATAGGTTGAAAAAAGGAAACCTTCTGTTGTACCAGCAATCCCCTGCCATTCATTTTACAGGTCTCTGATTTTACCTGTACAGTTAAAACATTATCCAGCTCAGTTCTTTATGAAAACTGAGTGGTCTGTAGCTTTATGAAAACTAAGTGCTCCTGTAGCTTATCTATATTTGTGCATTCAGGAAATTGCTGACATATTTTATCGTGAATGAATTAAGAAATTTAGTCACACATTCAAAAAAAGTTATAAACTTGATATAAATTGATTAGGTAGAATGACCAGGAAATTGATGAGGGAGGATCATGCAAATACATGCTTGGCAGGGGTGGGAACATGAGAACACGTGTGTATGGAATGGCAGATGCTGAATCAAAACAAGTGACGCTCTTAAACGTGAGCAGCCGCCTGGGCTGTCGCTCGCTGGGCAGAGCTCTGCGTGACGGGTGGGACGTCCACCACAAAGCTGGGCATTTCTGTCTCCTATTTCCTCTGTACAGTGGATGTGATTGTTACAGAGACTGAACTGTGGAATAGTTTACATCAAGAGAAGGTTTAGTTTCTTCCAGGTGGTTTCCAGTTGGGTTTCAGGGTGCTTACCACAGCGTGGAGGGATTCAATCTCGGTCTGCATGTGGTGCCACTGCCGTCTCGCTTCACAGAGTTCGGCTCTGGCTGCCTTTAATGCTTCTGCATCTTTGTCCATTCTTTTAATGGTAGCTTCTTCTAGCTTCAGGGGATAAGAAAGATAACAATATTAAAAAAAAATAGTCAAATAATGAAAATAAAATAGACACATGAAAATCTCTAGTTGGAATTTCTGAGCGTCATATGAATTGATTAAAGCTGGCGGCGATGAGTTCGTGTTGTCTGTGCCATGTACATGGGAAGCCCTTACCCTGCTGTGTGGGATGGGAACTAGTTGGCCTTGTCTTTATCCCTGACATACTTGTTGTGGAGGAATTCCCGTGGAAATTAACCAGTTTACTCACCTCTAGAGTAAATGGGTTTAAATGAATGGAAATTAGAGGAATTGCAGTCAGTTCAAGCTATTTAAGATTTATCTATCACAGGAAGGAAAAAAATGGAACATTCTCTCAGTATGTGCTGTCACCCATGTTAAATGGGACAGTTGAGGAGTGAAGTGCCTGTTCTAAGCTTAATCCTGATATAAAATATTATTTGAGATAATTTTCCATCCTTAAGACTGAAGCTTATTCTTAGAAAAAACAGTAAGTAGTCAAATAGCAATGGAGAAAGCACTGTATTGTGTTTGCCAGAAAATGTGATTTTTTGCTTTTTAAAAATCCTATTAAAAGTAGTTTTTTTAAGTTAACCCTGAGGATGTGTGGGGTCATTTTAGATTTGGGCTCATCTTTGATTTCTATAATATGTTCATGCATTCAACTTCCAAAATGGTTGTTTTGCTTATTAAAGTTATATTTCCTTTTTGATTCTGAGTTTTTACTGCAAGTGCTGAAGAAGCCATAAGCCCTTGAAACAACACATGTCCTTTTGCATATTTTACTGCTTTATGTGGGTTCTTACGATGCTGTCAACTCTAAAGGAATTGTCTTTAATTCAGGTCCTATGAAGCAAGTAAAATAAGTTTCTTTTTTCCTTTGTAATTTACTGACTTATTGTAATTTTACCATGCCATCATTTTGGTGAAAAACCTAGATTTGGCTAATCCACAAGTGAACACTCAATATTCTTTGCTTATCCTTTTTTGCCTGAGTACTGCAGAATTTATGTGACAAGATTATATCGATACCCACCGGCTGCTTTGTGCCAAACAGAAATATAAACTTGGCTTAACTCTCGTTTCTCGCTGCCGTGTCGCTGGGTTACTGTGTAGCTCAGCCAGATTGCAGCAAGAGTCTGGCCTGTGGTTAAAAAAACCTCCAGAATTTCTGCAATGCCTAAAAAGTACAACAGGGTGATAGAATACCTAATTTTCACCCTGAATTCCTTGACATTTGGTGGCTGAAAATTGTTTTGCCGTTTATTTCAAAGTTCAGTTGGGTTTTAGAGATGTTGTTTATGTAAATCTGTAATAGGAGCATTGTGTGTTGATAACATTTAATCTGTATGAAAGAACAAATGATATTTGCTGAAGAGTACGAGACAGTTTTACCATCAACAATATAAAATAATTCCTGAAAAGGTACAGTATTCTGTAATATAGGTGCTAAAAATGGTAAAGCTTTCAGTACATAAAGAGACTCTTTACATTGCCTTTGATTTTCCAGATTCTCTTTCCTCTGGGCTAACGAAGAGGTTACGGTGTTACAGCGGATGTCATCGGGTTTTAAATCACAGCAGTATCTCTGTGCGGGTACAGAAAAACACCCAGATGAATTACACAGCTTTCCTTTAGTGTGAATTCCACACCCCAGGCTAAATCTACTTCCGTCTCTTCTAGTTCACATCTCACTGCAGTAAAATCCAAATCCCTTCCCCGATAATATGCTGCATTGAAAAGGAAATACTGTACCTCATAGGGGCTGAGGGAGGAATTGTACAGCCAGGGCTTGTCTCCTTCCTCTGGAAGGGCTCTGTCTGTACCGAGTCATTACCTGGGTCCTTGCTGAGATGATGGTCTTTATCTGATTTCTGGTGATGAGCGTTTCATACTTTGCCCTGATCTCATGGAGGAGCTGAGACTGTTCCCTTCCCCTCCCATCCTCCTCCTCATGGCCAGGGTGAGCCGGCTGCTGCAGAGCCGGGCTGCCTGCAGCGAGGGGAGAGGGACCGGCGGCTGTTAAAGCTGCAGAGCTGGATTTCTGAGGAGGCACTGCCAGCTCACAGCCTCCCATCATTTCGGAAAGCAAGAGGAGTAAAGCCAAGATCTGTCATTTTGCAACGATTAAAATAATGATTCTTAAATTGCGCGCCAAAATTAATATATAAAATGTCTTTATATTTTTATTACACTGTAACTGTGGTTTTTTATGACCTAAAAAATGTGAGGTTGGGGGATAGAAAGCAAAGGACAGAATTACAGCTGCCCAGCGTGAGAGTGCAGTCACAGAGGGGACGGGAAGTCCCAGCTGTGCACCTGTGTTGGTGGCAGCGCTGCTGGAACGTGCCTTCGCCAGGCAGTTGTGCCGCACAGGAGCAGGTTATTGAGAGATGTTGCAGAATTTCCAGCCTTGAAGGTTTTTAAGATGAGCCAAAGCCTCAGGTGTCCAACCTGATCTGATGTTGAGGACTGTCCCATTTTAAAAAAGACCTGGGCTCCTGGACATCCTCTCACCCAACATTTTGATGCCTTTATGGGCAGGAACACGGAAAGATGGGGAGAAACCAGCAGTGCTGGTGGTGAGGGATTTTCTGCAAATAATTCTTCATTTCCTGGCTCAGTGTAGCTGCTGTGTGATCCCCATGGTCTTGTCTGCTGAGAATGGCTCTTACCTGTTTTTCAGAGTTTTTTCAGTAGTGGGCAATACCAGATATTTAGTAAAAAAAATAAATTAAATTTCAGTCCCAAATAAGCAAATCACTAGATAGAATGTGTTTTTAGGCTCCAAGTAAGACTATACATCAGTAAAATGAGAAAAAAGGCAGTAAACTTTTACAAGACACTCATCTTTTTAGAAGTCAAAGTATTATACCACTTAAAAGTCTCCTTGTGTGCATCAGGCTTCCTTGTTCTTGGCTCTGTCTGCTGGCACGTGTGAAAGGATCCTGTGTTCTAAGTGTATTTTTCTAAGCTGGCTGTTTTGCAGCTGACCTGGACTGAGATGAGAATGTTTTCTTGTCCACTATCTTTCTACAAGTGTCTTAATTATTCTAGTTTTAGAACCAAAATATTGACAGTGTTTTTCATTGATGTTATGATAACAGTCACGTAATAAAAACACGAGGAATCCATCAAACAAGCATACGACGTTATACCTTAGGACAGGATAAGTATCAATAGGAAGAGCCTCTGTATTTGAGGAAGAACTTGTAATTAAAAATCTTCCTTTTTCTTTGCATTGCAATACCAATTGTTTTTTATTTTTCAGGTGTGAAGGGAACATCTGGCTACGAGATCCCTGAGAGCTAAAGGTAGGTGGTTGTAAGCATTTGTATCTTTACTTGGATTTATGTAATTTTGAATTCTAGCTGCTTTCAGTGTTCATATTTTATTACAGATGTTGGATTTGAGTTAACTTTATAGTTCAGACACTGCATCAGTTTTTTGGATTCTGCAGTACAGCACAATAATGCTGTAGGGGTTGCAGGCTGCTTTGGTTGACCATTGGTGCTTTCTCACAAGACAAGAGCTAGAGTGGTTTCTACATTTTACATACATCCAAATTCTCAGTCATCTTTTAGATCACAATGTTAAATCCAGGATTAATGTGTACGTAGGTGTCCTGGTTTTTGGCTGAAACAGAGCTGGGTTTCGTTCTCAGTAGTTAGAACAGGGCTGTGCTTTGCTTTTCAGCCTGGGACTTGTTGTGAGAGACACTGAGAACACACCAGTGTTTGTGTTTTTGTTGATGGAAGTGAAGGATTTAGTGTTTTGTTAGTCTGCAAGCACAAGATCTCAGGGGTGAGGAATGTTTAAATTAATAAGCTCCATGGGCACTGGGCTCTGCCAAGGGGCTGTTCCATCTCCTGTCCCCCATGGGCAGGAGATCCATGAGGGGCTCTTCCTCTCTTGCTCTCTCTGGCTTTGGCTCGGGCTCTGGCTCTCCCGGGATTGCGGTTTCGGGTTGGGATTGTGGCTCCTGCGGGATCATGATCTCGGAACGGGCCGGGCTGGGTCAGCGGGTGGCGAGCAATGGCACTGGGTGTCACTCATTGGTATATTTTGTTACTGTTATCATCACTACTATTTTAATATTAGTTTTATTTTAAGTTTTATTTCTATTATTAATTTGTTCTTATCTCACCCTACAAGCCTCCTTACCCTTGTCCCCCAATCCTGTCCCCTATCCCCTGGGGGTGGGGGGGAAGTGGATGAATGGCTGTGTTTTTTTCTGCTAGCCAAGGGCTAGCCCGGGGAAACTATCACGGTAGGTAAACTGCATGATGATTTGTGGAAACCTCCACTGAGTGACGTAAGGAATAAGGATTTCACAGCGATCACGGTTGCGGTCCTTGAGGTAAGCACTTTAATTCATATTTCTTTGTATACAGTTATTCTGAAAGTATACATGTCTTTGGAAGAAGACAAGAGAGACATACTTTTCTCTTCAAAATGGAGATGCTGTCAATAATGGGGAAGTTATTATGCTTTCAGATTTTTCACATATGAGAAAAACATTATGGATGGGAAAGAAAGATGATGAATGCTGTCTTGTGTTAGGATTTCCTTCAGTCTGTATTCTTTAAATGTCTCTATAATGGTTCTCTTGGTAAGCAGAAAAAATGCTTGTAGTTGGTTTTACAGAAAGCAGATGGAGGCACAGGATGAACTCTGTGCTCCTATTAAATGTCTCATTTGGGTTAAGTGTTTAAGGGATGTGATAGAATGTGCAGAACCTTTGTATTATAGAGACACATGTAGAAGGTCACAGCAACTTCCTTGTCTTACCTGAGAATCACACAAAAATCATCAACATTTCGCCTCGAGAACAAAGGTTTAAGTGTAAATTGTAAAGGGATTGTATTCTGGTTCAGTTATAATTCCATTTTGGTTGAGATTCCTTTAAATAGTTTGTTTGAGTTGGTCACCTGGAAGCCAAATTCAGGATTTGAAAGATCACATTGTGCTCCCAGCAGACAGCTCTCCAGGACGTGGAGCCACCGCTTCATGGCTGGGCTGGCTGCCTGCTTCAGAACCAGCATATCCCTTCTTTGCCACTGTTGTTCTGTTTGCAAAAGCTTCTCTCTTAAATTGAAGCTTTAAATTGTAATTTAGCAAGTATTTCTTTAATCCCACATTTAAACGGTTTTTTAATGTGTGCATCTTCTATCGTTGGATTAATTTCTCTAAATTAATAGCGAGTACTAAACCACACACATAGGATATGGTAAAGCCAGATACCCAGCAAATGGCAGGTATGGATCAGGGGCAGCTCTCCTAAGTGAAGAATAAAGGGAGACTGAGATCTTAGAGCTTGTTGAGTCCTTTTTATTAGTCAAGAAAACTAGAAAATGAGGTTAGAATAGCAAAATGATTTTCTCTATTAATTAATAAAAATTATTAAAAAGCATATCTAATTAAATGTCTAATGTGTGTACTAGTTATTGAACAAATAATTGATTACACATTTAAAGAACACTGAAAATAATACAGGCAATATCACTAGAGTGAAGCAGAAGATGTATTGCGAGTACAGGTTTTGTTTTATGTGAAAGGGTTTTAGTAAAAGCCAATCTATTTTCATCACTTGATACAAAAGAACAAAATTATTTATCCATTTTGGCTTTGAAAACCCATGGAGTGAATGATCCTTTGCAGTGTCAGATTGCGCCTTATATCTTCTCTTCAACTTCCTTAACATGGGATGCAATAACTTTTCCATCCACCACTTCTTCGACAATTGTCTTGATCTTTCTAGTTTTGGTAGAATCTAAAGATCATAAACAGAACAAAAACCATGTTTATCACAGTGTTAAAAGTTACAGTGCAGAGCAGCACGCGTACACGAACAGTTACATCCTTTTCCTTTCCAATTGTCTCCTTGTTATGATGAACTCTATGCTGTAGTTACACAGAATAACTTGTATTATTTTATTTATGAGAATGACTTTGGAAACAAAATTGTATTCAATCAGTTCTACCTACCCTGAGAAGAACCCAGTGATTCTGTTTGTGATTTGGACCCTGTCAAGGATGAGCTTTCAAATGTAACTCCCTGTCCTGCGCTCCTAAAAGCGAATGAGAAACAGGCAATATTGCAGAAGGTTTGTCAGGATCAGGAGGTGTTTCCTGTAAAGGGTATTGCTACAGAAAAGAAAGCAAAGGAGATATTGATGTAAATGAGTTATTTACACGAACTCGCCGTCCAGCAAGCGCCGATAGGTTTCAATCTCCATTTCTAGGCGAGTCTTGATGTCCAGAAGCTGTTGGTACTCGGCGTTCTGGCGCTCCATGTCAGCCCTGACCTGGAACAGCTGGGACTCCAGATTCCCAATCTGAAGCTGCATTTGTGAAAGCTGAGCACAGTAACCTCCTTCCGTTTCTGCTAAAGTGTCTTCAAGCGATTTTTTCTGTGTAAGAAGGAGATTAAATAATCTGTGATTGTGGGAAAAAAAGTCTTTACAAAGACAAAACCAAGTGAAATAATTTAATGGAAGTATAGCCTCTTACTTAGAGATTTTGGGGTTTTTTTTCTTGAAATACCAGTTTGAGAACTGGCCTTTGCTGCTTCACTGAATGGCCACCTGCTTTATAACATGCTACTTGCAATCCAATTATATATGTTACTGCTATTTAGGAACTAAACAAATGCAGGATTTAATAGGAGAAAATTGCAAATCTTAAATCCTATTGAACAGTGTAAGATCTAACACGACTTTTGAAGTTGGAAAATTTACTCTGACTCGTTAGCAGCTTCCTTAGAACGTACCATGGCAAGCTGAGACTGTAGTTCAATTTCCAAGCTCTGGAGAGTCCGTTTTAAATCGGTGATCTCACT